CAACTCCACTGGAACTGGGAATCTTTTGCTTGTCGGGCAAATGTGTAAACCACTTCTGTCTATTCAATCTTTTGTTAAAGTTGTTCAGAATTATATGAGGACCCTACAGTCTCTGTACAAATAAGCTTCAGGTTTTTCTGCTCCAGTAAAGTAAGCAAAATGACCAGAAAGTGATGCAAAAACTAATCTATAAATAGAAGTAGACAAAAATGAAAATATGCAGACCAGTTACAAGAATCAGCAACTCCATTTCCTCATACTGACTGCAGGAAAGTCTGTAAACTGGGTTTACTGGACCAGCTGTTGCAGGTTTTGTTTCTTTTTTAAGAAACTCCCAGAAGAAGCCACTGAAGTAAAAAGCCTAAAAAAACTCACACCCAGGAGGGGTTGTAATAAATGTGGACATGCATGTGAAAGCACATTTGCTGTTTGTATGAGGTATGCAAGTTTTCTGTTGACTACTCACTTCTTGCAGCAAGAATAGCTCCTGTCATGGCCCCACTTGTTATAGAGTTCCATGGATCCTCCTTCCCTCGCACTTTTACTAAACCACAGTCAATCATGGAGAAGAGGCCTCCCCATACTGCGAAGCTACCTGCAACACGCCAAAGAAAAGATTTACATCAGCTGAAGACGTTATCAGTGAAGATACGCTTGTCACTTTGTCAAGCAATCACCCGCGTCACATATTTACATAAGTAACTTCTACCACTAACACACTTCAACAGCAAATAAAGTATTAATAATTCTGCACACAGATTATGCCTTCGGGCGCCAATAGCAGCTTATTTAATTAAACGATAATTACTTTAATATACGAAGCTGAAATATTTCCCAAGATTAACTTGCCACCATCGGAACTGCAGACGATGTACAACATGCTGCTGACTTACAGCCCATGTTCTTTACAAAGGAAGAGAAATGACCTTTGAAACAGTTCAGCAATTGTTCTTACCCCCGAGCTGTGGGGCTCTGGTCTTGATAGCAGTTAAGCTACCCCTCATTCTGTGGCTCATCCCCTATAAAAAAAGAGAGACAAAAAACATGCATTAGTGGAAATTCACTGTCAGGTCAGGATTTCTGAGACCAAAGATTCAGAATTTTCAGATTATGACTGATAACATAAGTTGAAAAAAAATGTGGGTCTTTGAAATTCAGGTTGGATTAAAAATACAATTTCCTGTTTACAGGAACAGAAACACTGCTTCATCATCAAGTGTCTTGATGTGACACTGACCCCAAGGACAGTACCTTGAATGTCAGCTTTGACTGAGGCCAGAAAACAGTCCTTGAACTTACCGAGGGTGCATTTCTGAAGCCTTTCACTGCCTGAAATATTCCTCCTCCAATAGCTCCCATGGTGAAAGCTCCCCCACAGTCATCCACAATCCTCCAGGGGCTAAAAGCAGAACACAGACATTTTAGTTTGTTTAAGTTAATAATGTCATGACATTTGAGATCTCTCATTGCATGTTTCTAACAATCTCTTAATGTTCCCTGTAAGTCTAAATTAATCCAAAGGTAAAGGAAGAAGAACTAGTTTATTACTGGTAATATGACAATAAGATATAGGTCATCTGAATATCAACACTCTAAAATCTAACTATACACACACACAGACTTGGCCTTTGAGAGGGAGACCGATGTAACAGTGAAGCTGTGAAGAGTTGTCAGAGGAGTTTAAATACATCCAAAAGCAACCGACAGTGCACAAGAGAAGTGAAGAAGAGATTCGGCAGGGTGGTGGTGATGGAGACTAGTGTCAGGGCTGATTTATGACAGAAGCAAGAGTGAAAGGGAAGGTTTACAAAAGAATAGTAGTGCGACCTGCTAAGATGTATGATGAGCAGACAATGGCACTAACAAAAAGATAGGAGGCTGAGCTGAAGATGTTAAGATTTCCACTGGCAGTGAACTAAGAGAGAATGGAGGGGATTAGAAATGGGTATCATAGCGAAAGCTCAGTTTAAACAGAAACTAAGTTTGAGAGGCAAGGCTGAGATGGTCTGAACATGTGCTGTGGGCGGTTAGTGTGTATATATATTTGACAAAAGATGCTGAATATGGACCTGCCAGACATGAGCAAAAGCGGAAGCCCTCAGAGAGGGGCAATGTAGTGGAGGAGGATATGCAGAGAGTGGGTGTGACAGAAAACGATGCTAGGGATAGGGTGAGATGGAGGCAGATGAAGAAAAACACACAGGCATATGCGTGAACGCATACAACCTCACAGGGTCACTCTCTCTGGGTCCTATGTTAATGACCACCTCTGACCCAGTGTAAAACATGAAGCATTACAGCATTGCATCATTTTGTTTGTTTTTTTGTTTGTTTTGTTTGAGCAGTGAGGATTATACTTCACATGACCGCATCTCAAATTTAAACAAACAGACTGCACGTTTACTTCTCACATACGACTTTATTAGAAAGGGTTTACATGGTTAGATGGTTGCATACAATGTAATATGACTTCTGGTCAAAATCAGGAAAATGTAACAGTTTTAAATAATGTATGTAAAACTGGATCTTCTATTTTACTCATAGCCATTCGTTTACGTAAACAGATCCACTACATCTTAAATCACGAAACGAACATTTTGCAGTGATACTGAAGGACAGTAACCTTGTGTCCCGTGTTTCTGACCATTAGTATGCGATCTGAAATTGTTATTTAAAGCTGGCCAAAATACTTAAAAACACAAGTGGGAGGAAAAACAGCGAACCAGGCCAACCTTTTTTAACTTTTAAGAAGTTTATTTAGTTCACGGTTCTTATAAATTAAACCTAAACCAAAATAAGCATACACGAGGACAGCCACCGAGAAAAAATGTATGTATTTGTAAAAACGTTTATTTTAAATCCTCAGTGACGCTGTTAAAAGTTCATAAACTATTTGAACAGGACATGTCTCAAGCTAGCTGAAGCCATCAGGCTGCAGTCTAGATAGCGCACAAGTAGCTAATCCAGCTAGCTTACTTGTGCGCCAAAGCAAAATAATATTAAAATAACTACTCCAACTTTTCCCGAATGGCTACCAGTATGCGGTTACAATAGATGTTATATGCCTTTTTTAAGCACCGGTTTGTGGGGTCAGTAAATTTAAAGCAATGACATGTGGCAATAAAACCGACAAGGTCACAACGTGACTTAGCCGTCCCGACGCAGTGCTCGCTCAAACTACCTTCACTTGTGTATGCGAAGTTAGCATTTCTGCTAACGGCAGCTAGCCGGCCGGTTTCGAGGTGTTTCGGTCGTGTCACGTGATATAAAATAAAACCATTAAACACAACTAACATGGCATGTATTTAAAACGCAGCCCACTGCAGTACATGCTGAAACGGTGCGGGAAACGGATTAATTTTAATTTTAGGACTCACCACGGCTCTCTGGCATACTCCTCCATTTTGTTCTTTGCTTTTCCGCCTGACGTAACGATTATCGAACACCTGACGTAACGACACTATAGAGTCAACATCATGTCTTAAAGGAACAGAGCATGCAGGGATGGATGAGCTTCAGGCTGCTGTCCTGAGAGTTTATTAAAGTTATTACAGCCTATTTCTAAAACCTATCCACAAAAATACCAAAAAAAATATCTTGTAATGAATGGTGTAAAGTAAAAAAGTAGAACTGTTCAAGCACTATAGACTTGTATTATACTTGAGTGTTTGCTAATTCACATCGATAAGCAACATGAAGCAAATTAAAGGACAGCCAGACAGGTATAAGATAGTTTTGACATTTCTATCAACAGAAGCAATGTCACACTGATCACATAAAGTCTTATTTACAGTGACAAACGTTAAAAAGCAGGTAGAAAAACAAAATAATAAAAGGGTTTTTTTACATTTCTGCAACACAAATAGAAATCTTCATGGCAAAATAATCACACTCTGCTGTGCTCCTAGTGTTTTCTTAGTAATAGCAATGCAGTGTACTTAGAGGCCTTCTGATGGCACTGAAAACCAGTAATCTCAACATTTCATTCCTTCCCCTCTTTTTCTTCCTTCTGAGACTATTGGTCAGAGTAGCAGCTACAGCTAAAAGACAGAAGGCTGGCTCACTGCCCATTATTAGGAACGAGAAAGGAATGAGTTATAGAGCAAGCCCTCATTGAGAAATGACCAAATATAGGCATTTTGTGGATGCAGAGACTGAGGCAAGGCTGCAGAGAGATAAACTGGCCTGCTGCTGCTGCTCTCTTTTTTCTCTGGATGATGGCTACCTTTCCAGCTGGTGGGTGGACACTAGACAGCTCCCAATGTTTCCACGTAGCTTTAAACACATTATGTAAAGAGCAACAGATAGAAGAAAAGTTCTTCATGGTCCACTGCAGAAGCACAGATATACATGCCACGAAAACATTTGCTAGTTGATATAATGTTTTGTGTCTGGTAAAGATTTTTGTGCGGTTTTTAAAATTAATCCATCAAGAAACGCAGATACATAAATTTAAAAAAATGTGAATTTATGTTTATTTCAGTAGTTAAAGTACGAGACACGAGAGGCCTCCTGCTTTCCTGGAAAGGTATTTTTTGGCATATGGACACCGCAAGTTTCCACCTTAGTCTAAGTAAGTCATGGGACCCCAACTAGCCACAAAAGTCATAGTGATGTTGTAAAGTCCTGCTGCGAGTACAAGCCATTGCATTTTTGAATGTATATACAGCTGTGGTCAGAAGCTTCCATACACTCATCATAGGCATGAATGTGATGATCATTTGGGGCTCAAAAGGATTTCTTCGAGCTGCTCCTTTTCCAGGGTGGAAGGATTGTACAGCATACATATTTATTTACTTTAAAATGCAAGAATTGGGTTTGAATTTCTTTTGGTTTTTTTCTAATCCACACAGGGTCAAAATTATACACACAGGCTGAAAACAGACACAGACTCGAACCTTTTAATAAGCGCTGCTGAAGGTTTTAAAGTGTCTTTTAACTCGACAAGGCCGAGGCCTATTTGGTTCTTGTTAATGATCACGAGAGATTACAATTGGTAGTTCCTCTTTGTCTCCATAAAAAGCATTTGTTAAACAGCAACCACTGAATTCCCCAGTACTAGGGATAATGGGAAAGTCCAAAGAACTCAATGAAGTTGAGGAGATTTGTAGATTTATACAAGTTGGGAACGTTTCATGGAACCATTTCTAAGCATGCCATCACAATTGTCTGAGAGGGTCCCTGCTCCAAAATCAACACCTTAAAGCACAACTAAAATTCGCTGCTGACCCCATGGACAAACCAAATGCCTTCTGGAGAAATGTTTTATGGTCAGACAAGACAAAGATTGACCAATTGTGCTACACTGACAAGAGTTATATTTGAAAGATTAGAGGTGAGCCTTTCAAGTTCTTGTTTTTCAAAGTAATTAAAGCTGTGAGCTGTACAGTCATTGCACCATGGATAAAGAACAGTTAAAAGCCTGAAACATGCCCATGATCAGTGATGTAAACGTCTGAGCACATCTTTACTTGTACAAATATAATCATATGCACATATATAGAGAATTAATGACATTATCATATACATAATTTCATTTATTGTAGCTAAAAATTATAATATAATAACAGATTCCAATCACTTCTATCAGACGGGTAACATTAAACTTGCAAACATAGCAGAATCTTTTATTGAAAACATACAGGCTCTGTAAGAAAAACATGTAATAATGTATGTGCTTCATTACAACACTCAGGTTTTTGCTAATCACATTACATTTCCTTTAGAACTGATATTCACTCTTAAATAGCACATTAACCAACAGTAGTGTTGATTTAATGGTGTTTCTGACATTTTGATGTAAAACCCAGGCTAGAATGATTCTGCACAAAACTCAACATCAGATGCTGAAACTTATCTTCCTGCACGTCCTGATAAAATGCATGATGTAATTATTTCCATGCTAAGACTCATTCGTTATGTCCCAGGACTCCTGGGACAATGGGCTGCTTTCGAAACCTGCCTGAGATGTCTTGAGATTTGAGACACACAATCAAAGACCACCTTGACCTTTTTGTTTTCTCCACCCACCCGGATTTTCTTAAGTCAGGCCGCCATGTTTGTTAATTCCCTGATATTCCCAGTTTGATTTACAGATTTACAGCTGATAGGGTGGATTCCCTCTCCACAAATAAATAACTTTTCAAATTAATCTCAATTACATACTGTTGAATATTAGAGTTTTATAGAGTTGTTTGAATCTCTTATTAAGCTCATCACACACTCTCCCACACACTCACATTCAGATGCATGTACAAGCCAACATGTTATATGATCGGCCTCATATTATGTAGTGCAAATAACCAGCCAAGCGTCAGTATGAATGGAAGACAAACAGCCTCAAACCCATGGCACTCTCTGCAGAGAGGCCTTCATCACTCATTCTCCACAGAGTCTTTTTGGTCCAGTGTTGTTGGGAGAACTCATAGTGATGGCTGTTCTTCCAAACGTCTCATGTTTCACTGTCTTCATCTGCCCCACTGCACTTTAACCGGCCAGGGGAATTTATAAAGGTTATCCCCTAGAAACCCTCTGGTGAGATGTCTGTTCTCCCTCGCTCTTCTTCTTCTTCTTCACTTTATATTCCAGCAGGAAATATCACTGCAGCCACTTTGGCACCGGCACCTGTGAGAAAAATAAAACGTTAGTGAATCCAAACACAGCATCGGCGAGCTAACCTCTTCGTCAACCCTTCTGATGTACCTTCTTCAGCTGTTTCATATTGGTTCCTCTGATAGAGGCAAGCAGTTGGTCCCTTGAGTTCTTCGTACCACCTGGGCGGTTTGCATCCAGCATAGGAGGTGGAGGAGGTGGGGGTCCACCCCCAGGAGGAGGCGGAGGTGGTGGTGGAGCCGGACCTCCAGCTCCTTTTCTTGGAGTGAGCTTTGGCGAAGGCACGGGTGAAGGGATGGGTGAAGGTTTAGGCGAAGCTTTGGGAGAACTCCTCAGAGATCCTCCACCTCCGCTCTTGGGCACCTCAAGTGTTCCCTTCTTCTCTCCATTGGCCTGGGCCTGCTTCTGCTCCTGCAGGCGCTTCTGCCTCTGCCTGTCCATGTTGCGACTCAGTATGTTCGTCGTGGTCATTCTCGGTCCTGCTAACTCAAAGTGGTAGCCCAGCTTGAGCAAGGTGGTGTTGTCTTTCAGGATCTTGACCATCTCCATCTCGGTCTTCCCTCCGCAGATGTGCCGCTGGTTCTGAAAGCGCAGCTCGGTCAGCGTGGAGTTGTGCTGCAGCGCCTGGATGAGAGACAGGATGCCCTTCCCGGTGAGATGGTTGGAGTCGAGGTTAATGCTGGTGATGGTGTTGTTGCTGCGGATCGTGCCGGCAATGGCATAAGCGACATGGTCGTCCGCACGGCAGTTAGCGAGCGCGAACGTCTTGACGTGGGTGTTGTTGTGCAAAGCTTCTGCAAACTCGATGAGCGTTTTCGTCTTGATGACCTCTGAGTTGTTGACGTTGAGCTCAGTGAGGGAGGGGTCGTTGCTTCGCACCTGCTGCATGAGCTCATCGAACATGCTCGAGTCTTCGTCTTCCTCCTCTGCCTCCTTCACCTTGCTGTTAGGGCTGTTTTTGGAAGCACAGTTAGCAAGTTTCCCGCTATCCGCAGCTTTCTTAACCTTACCGTCCTCTCTTTGCACCTTCTCCTCTGGTTTCCGCTCAGCATTAAACTTCTCTTTCACATGGTCACTGTGGTTAACCAACTCTTCTCTGTCTGTTCTTTGCTCCATCTTGTCACGTTTCACCTCGTCTTTCTCAGAAGGTTGTCGTTCGAGTTTGACATCAGGTTTGTTTTTGTATTCAGATTTCTTCTCCTCTGCTTTAGCCTTCTTCTCTTCTGGTTTACACTCTTGAAGCTGGCTCTCCGATGCCTTGCTCTGCTTCACCATTTTAGAGACAAGCCCCTGTGTCTTGATACTCTCCGTTTTTCTTTCCTTTTCCTTGCCCACATCTTTCTCGCTTTTTTCTCGTAGCTTTGAGATAATGTCTTTGGTTTTGCTGTCATCTCGTCTCCTGCAGTCTTCCCTCCTTTCTTTCTCTTTGCTCTCATCCCTTTTCTCCTGTAACTTTGAGATCATGTCCTGTGTTTTGCTGCCTGTGCTCACTCTGTTTTCTCTTCTGTCTCTCAGCCTGTTGTCCTCATATTTCTCTTTGTCACGGGCCTCCTCTTTCGTGTCGCTCTCTCTGCTATCCAGCTTCCTGTTTCGACTTGAACACCAGCTCCCGTCTTCTTTTGAACTTTCAGGACCTTTGCTGTTTCTGTCCTCCGCCTTGATATCTCTTTCATTTGAGACACTAGCTTGTCTTTGCATTCCCACTTTCATATCGTCATTTCCCTCCTGGCTGAGACCCATCTTCCTCAGGTACTCCTGCTTCCGGCTCTCTTTCTTCGGCTCTCCCTGCAGGAAGATGAGGAGTGTGATAAGGAATTTTTTCCTCATCGGTATGACAAAACAAAAAATTACATGGGTCATTTAACGTCTGTGAAAAGCAGCATGTCAAATGATGCGGCGCTCTAAACACAGTAAATCACAGCAGAGTCTCAATTTATTAGCTATAGAGCACAGAAAAAGTAATACCACAGAATTACAGCAAATATTGCATGACATGTAAAGTATGATAAGACATCTGATCGTGCAGCTGTGCTGTCTTTTGTTGTACAACAGCGTCTCACAATAGGGCATGTGTGTTTACAGTCAGCAAAGGGACACTATCCATTTTTTTTGCACAGGGATACATTTGCAATGAGGAGCTTGCTAAGTGTTTGATTTGTGAGCCTCCATCTGTTTTGCTTCGTGAGGCCGTGGCCCTGGCAGATGCATCCTTAAAAGGCAGTGAGCGTAGGAGCAATCAACCAAGGAATTCCACCAGGCCGGGATTAAGAAGCTCCGCAGAGCCGCTGCTCCAGCCACTTAAGTGTCTCTCTTCTAAGCACACAAACTGATTGAAATCATGCAAACTACTGACAATAAATTTGTGTAGCATCTCCAATAAATTACACAAATGCCTTTTGGAGAAGATGTTTGTGCTTTGCTTGTTTGGCAGATGACAATTAAGGGTAAGGAGTGGATGTAGGCGGGTCATAGATGGGGACTCGTTGCTTTTCCTGGCACAGGAGTCAACTCTGGGGACTACTATTTTTATGCTGATGGGACTCGGGGTGCGTGAGGTCCAGTTGCTTCAAGTGAAATGAAAAATAGACATGAAAGCTATCCAGGGGGCTTTGGGTATTATGCAATGCTGTAGCCTATCAGTCAGTTTGATTTCATAGCTCCTTTTAAATCTGGTTATAATAATAATGGATTGCATTGATATAGTGCTTTTCGGGGCCCTCAAAGCGCTTTACAATTCCACTATTCATTCACACACTGGTGGAGGCAAACTACAGTTGTAGCCACAGCTGCCCTGACAGAAGCGAGGCTGCCATATCGCACCATCGGCCCCTCTGGCCATCACCAGTAGGCTGTAGGTAAAGGACACAACGACCGAGACTGTCCGAGCCAGGGCTCGAACTGGCAACCTTCCGGTTACAAGACAAACTGCCAACTCTTTGAGCCACGATCGCTCAAAACTGGCAAAGGGAAGTCGAATATAAACATATGAAGAGACTGATGAGGATCATACTTCATCATAAAACACTCATGAGTCAAAGCCAAAGCATATTTCCTCACAAACCTCAAATGATGGTTCCCTCTGGCTGAGCCTCCCTTTGGTGTCTCTCTGTTTCGTCGTTGCATCCCGGACATTGTTGCTCATAGGTGGCTGCGCAGGTTGGTTCTCCCCTGGAATGATGAGCCCCTCCTCGGGGTTAATGTCTGGCACCTTCATCATGTCCATCTTCAGCTCCTCTATTTCCTCGGGGGAGAGGGTGGACAGCAGGTTGTCCAGGTCTGGGTCCTCGCTGACCTGGCGACCTATACGGGTCAGGCCTTTCATCTTTCGTCTGGACATCTTGTCCTTGCCTTTGTTTTTGGGGTTTGTCCTGGTCTGGAGAGGATATACGGAGTTTGTTTCTTTAAAGGTGCTGATGCTGCTAGTGCAAGCAAATCCCTCGATTTAAAATTCAAATTATAAGCTGACTATTCCTATGTGCTGATGTCCTGCTGTTGTGTCGTGTCCCACTCACCAAAAAGCCACCAGAGGCATCAATCCTGGTGCAAAGAGGCTGGTCTCAGAGTCTTGCAGCGAGGGTTACAAGTGACGAACTGTGAGAGGTTCGCATCATCAAAGTGGACTGTGAGGCTGGGACATTCTTCGAAATCCTGTGAAAGTGCATGTCCATATTTAGTTCAGGGTACACACTCCTTTAAAGGTAATGGGAAGGGCTGAAGTTTACAGAGATGCCAGAGCAGGCTTACACAGACTTCCTATTACACAATCTGTATTTATATTGGAGCCCAGTTCAGTGATGTTTATACAGTCGCTCGCAAATAAAGTTTTATAAGAGCTCGCTTTTAAACCAGTGGGGATTGCTACTCTATTGTAGTCACACAGTCAATAACGTTTTGCTGTAATACAAAGGCCAGTGTATAGTTAATAAAATATTGTATGGAATAAAAATAAATACAAATAGAATTAATATATATTTTTAAAATATGCATACTGTATATATGATACTAAATATTCCCATAATAGATTAAACATATATTTAATTATTTAATACAAAGATGTGACACTGCATTAGTGTTTCACTGTATATTTACTATACTTAATTTGAGCTTTTTTACTTTTTAAAGACACTTTATGGTATTGTGCACTCGACAGACACTTCATTAGGCACACCTCGCTCATTCTGGGGTCAGACCTCGTTTTGTCTGCACAACTGCTTTGATTCAAGAAGGTGCTTGAAACGTGCCTCTAAGATTTTTGGTCCATATTGACGTGAAGGCATCAAACAGCTGCTGCAGATCTCTTGGTTGCACATCCATGATATCAATCTTCTGTTACACCACATCCCGAGAGTCCTCTATTGGACTGAGATGAAGCCATTTGAGTACAATGGACTCACTGTCAAAATCAAGACACCAGTTTGAGATGAGAGACTTTTCACATGGCGCATTATCCTGCTGGAAGTGGCCATCAGAAGACAAGTACACTGTTATCATAAAGGGATAGATGTGGTCAGCAACAATATTCGGGTAAGCTGTGGTGTGTAAAAGACACAAAGTTGGTACAAAGGGGTCCAAAATGTGCCAAGAAATTACCCCTTACACTATTACTCCACGACCAGGGTGAACTGCTGATGCAGGGCAGGGTGGATCCATTTGTTGATGATGTTTTTACCAAATTATGATCGACCGTCTGAATGTCACAACAGAAATCAAGACACATTTTTCTAATATTCTTCAAATTTGAGTTACTGTCGCCTTCCTGTCACCCTGAAGTAGTCTGGTCACTCTCCTCTGACCTCTGGCATCGACCAGAGGTTTTCACCCCAGAGAACTGCTGCTCACTGGATATTTTCTCTTTTTTGGACCACTCTCTGTAAACAGTAGAGATGATTGCGTGGGAAAATCCCAGCTGGTCAGCATTTTCTGAACTACTCATACCAGCCCGTCTGGGACAAACAACCGTGCCGCATTCAAGGTTACTTAAATCCCCTCTCTTCCTCATTCTGATGCTTAATTTGAATCTCAGCAGGTCGTCTTGACCAAGTCTACTTAACTTGTTTTACATTGTATTAACAAAGTCATATCTGAAAAACTTCAAAAACAAAGTTATGCGAAGAATTTATTTAAACTAAAAGCCATGAATAACAGAATGGACAATAATGAAACTGTTTAATCCAGAGAGCATGTGAAGAGTAGAAATATTGGGACTTTTTTAAAAATGATTATTACTTAAGATAACTTATGTGATGTATAAAAAGCTGCAACTTCAGCCTCCGGTAAGTAATCCTGTGATCCTACATTGCTTCTCATTTCTTTCCTCCCAATATTTACATGCAAAATAAGTACATATATTAAAAAAACAATTTAAAAGGGGGGTTACTTTAATAAAGTTATGATAAAAAACAATTAAATAATGTCTTTTTAGAATTATGATTGTATTTTGAATCAAACTGTATTGCTGGTACGAACTCATCCAGCGTGAAAGTTCCCTGTTAATATATAAAACACTTTCAAACGCCACATTTAAGCTGTTTTGGGGGTGAATGCAGACATCTAGTGGCCAGTGTTATAGATAGAAATCACACTTCTTTCTTTAAACTCAGAAAGAAACACAGACAGCAATTTGTTACATTCCAAAGTTAAATTTTATGTTAAAAGAAATAAACATTTTCCAGTCACTTTATTTTACAGTGTCATACCATCCATATGACGACAGACATGAAGCCATACCTAGACTCTGAACCTGATGTAAGTCATTAAAACACACTCATGGAGTTGGTTGGTTTAGAAGCACAAATGAACAGAAACATCACTGATGTTATATCAAACTACTTATGAAAGCATCTTTACAAAGAAAATCCCAGCGTCTTCCTTGTGCTTTACAAAGGCTCGACAAATCTGTACACGTGGACGTCGGCATCGGAGTGAGTAATTTATGCTGCAGACTAGCTGTGACAGTAATATTAGCTCTCAGGCATTAACATTATGTTTGAGCTGCTTAATACACTACACCTGAAAACAATCCAGGGATCACCTATTAGGAGGCATCGTGTTTTTCAATTCGAACCTTTTAAAGAAGGATCAGGGATGTCCTCGAAGCTAAAGGAGATTACAGGTTACGGGCCCTGACCTCACTGGAGCCCAAACCTGCAAGGACAAATTGAAAAGGACAGTTTGACATTTTGGGAAATCCACCGTCTGCTTTCTTGCCGACTTAAAGCCAGATGAGAAGGCTGTTAGAGCCAGGAGCCAGGCAGGTGGACGGCTAGAGGACGACTGGCTGGGGTTACGGATGGGAACATGTTGAGGTTATGATCAGGACAAATTCACGCTGACAGAGGAAAACAGACTTCACCTCCCCCAGAATCGAATCTCAAGGCCTGGAAACAGTGCCTGACACTTATTAACATGTTTATTCTGTGCAACACCCTGTGCTAGAATTCAGATTTTTTTAAAAGTTTCAGTAGGAAGTTTCTTTTTTAAACCAAGACCTTTACCCTGCTTCTAGTCTGATGCTGAGGTAGACTATCGGCCACTTGCTTCTCCTACAATTAACCACACATGTGCAGAAAGGGGCTGACCTGATAGCAGGGTGTGGTGGGTACCACATAAGTGCATTTCCCAACAGCGCAACCATTTACTGCAACTACAAGGCCTCGAAATTTCAAGATAAATGTACTTTTTACTACTTTTTTTTTTTTTGTAGCTTGACGGCAACCGTTTCACATTTTTAAAACATAATCAGTGTACAAGTTTATTCAAATAAACTGACGTACCCAGGAAGCAGTTACGATGAGCAACACCATTATGAGCTGCAACACCTGTGTTAAGGAAGCCAAAAAGTCTTTATTAAAAAGTCTTTTAGGGTTAATTATTTTTGCATGTATTTATGCAGCACAAAATTAATACAACTACAGGAAATGTTACTGCTAACTTCATCATTTTTGCTGATTCAATGTAGAATTTAGTTTTTTTTTTAAGCAGAGGATTACAGACAATAACTACATTTTGTTGCCAATATATCAAATGTGCCAATAAAGGGGGGGAAAGCAACAACAAAAACAAAAAACAAAATGCGCACCAGTCAACAAGAAAGCAAACATCTTCTCCAAAATGTCAAACGAGTCCTTTAAAGAGAGGGGATCTTTCAGCAGTAGTCGTTTTTGGCTTCGTAGCTTAGTCCAGAAGGTGAGAACCCATTCACAGTTAAAGGTAACTTAAATAGTAATAAATAGTAAATGGAAAGATGCCAAACGTCATATCTCATGGTACAATAAAAATACACGGTTTTAAAATAACTCGTTACAATATCATAAAATATTTAGTTGAAGAACAGATTTACAAAATATTCATTTAAATAGTTAATCTCTTTTTTCCCCATGGTTAGTTACTGTAAGGCGGGATATTTTATTTTAATCAAGCAGCGTGACCTGCAGTTCCCCTGTCCTGATATGTTAGAAGGAATAGACGTTAACACGGATTTCACTGTGAAACACCCTACCCGTCACTATGGAATTAATAAAGACTAATTTCTAATTTATTTAAAATCAGAAAAGAAGCAGAAGGGGACAGATATCTTTGACCAGGAAGCATGCTGATGTTGAGATCGTAAAAAAGGGAGCCACTAATAAACTACTTCAAAGTAATTACTCGTGTCAGATATTAGAAAGACGAGACAAAGTTCAAACCAACGGGTGACAAAGGGCTTCTTACAAAGAACTGGGAGAACCGTTTAGATCTATAAAGCCACCTGCCTTAGATCCAAACATCACTTTTGCAATCAAACGTGGATCCCTTTCTTTCCAGTTTATTTTTTTGCTTAGTTAGAAACATCAAAGACAAAGAAGCAGCACGTGATGCTATGATAACCGGAGAAAGTGGATCAGTGGCAGAGATTACCTGGAATGGAACCACAGGCAGTTATCAATTTATTCAAACTTAACAAGGGGGAGGAGGTAAAACATTTTTTTTTCCTTTTACCAAATAAAGAGGGACAGCGTTTTTTTCTAGAAGGTAACAAGCACTCTCTTTTGGCGACACCCTGTTGCTGAGGTGAGTGTTTCAGATCACGAGGCTGGTGAAACAGCGCCAAGACGCAGAAGTCGCCTCGCTTTCAGGATCATGTGACGCCTGCCCAGAGGAGTCAGGCGTCAGGTTGCAGGACAGACTTTGATTTAAATTAATACTGTGGAAAAGTAGGACGACGCTGCAAATGAACAACTAAAACTGAACTTAAAGTGCCTCCTGTTTTCTTTCACAGGCAACCCACTGCTAATCGAGCCGTAGCGGTTATTTTAGCGTGTGACTGTGTGCTTAACTGCATCTGCGTGTGTGTGTGTGTGTGTGTGTGTGTGTCTGTGTGTGGGAGAAAGTGCTGCTGCCTTCTTTTGAAACAGTCCCTTCGCTCAGCTGCAGTAGTGTCCCGCTGTGTGCGTGAAGAGGAGCCCATCAGTGACCAGGATACTGAGGTGGAGAGTACGGTGGCGGGGCTGAAAAACAAGTAGAAAAGGAAGACACACACATGCACACACACAGTCAGCCTTTCACTGTAAGTCTAAAAGTTTTTGCCCAGATTATACCAGTAATTTAGCTCAGAGCTAAGCATGTTCATGAAACACACTACAACTACACAGAATACACATGGCTGGTAAACCAAAATAGTGACAGGGTAAGAGTGAGAGAGAGTTTTAAATGTCACTGATATTTATGTATTTGGTGATTTAATGAAGCTGGATGAAAACAAAGTTATAAAAATTCATACTGAGGGCACGAAAAACGTCCATGCTAAATTTTACAGTTTATGGGAACAGTTGCTGGAGAATAGAAGAAAAAAAAAAAACATGATTAAACACAAGTCAGCTGGAAAATTGTCCCAATCTGTTCAAAGGATTAGTGATGGTTTTAATCGGCTGGGAGCATTAGGGGAAAAGTCCTCAAATTTAGCAAGACTCATTATTAAAATATGACACAATGTTGTGAAAGTAGCAAAGAGATGTGCTACAAATGTGAAACTAGTGAAGAGACTATGCAGTTCTCCTCTGAGGGAGGAAATGTTCCTAATCAGAGAGGACAAAGTCCAACCATTGGACAGAACAAAATTCAACACATGCTCGGGTGAACGGCACTAAAGTCTCTAATATTTAAGTTAAAAAAACATTATCAGGTGATCACCCAAAGAACCACTTACACAGGATGTAGGCACATCATTTTTTGCTTTACATGCAAAAGCAGTTTT